AAGTGTACAGTATCTTTGCAATATTCACACTTTTTATTTTTACTTTTACACTTACAAAAATGTATTCAGGTGTACTGATTCTAGATGATATGATTAAAGATATTGAAATAAATAAATGAAACAACAGTACATTTCTACAAACTCACCATTTTTTGTTTATTTGCTGTTACCTTTTCTGTGCCAGGCAATTGTCTCTACCATCTATTTTTCAACTGCCGTGCACAATAGACCCCGAACTGCAGTGTTATTCACTGCTTTTGAAATATGTGTAGGTACTGATAAGGGACAGACCTCTAAAATTTAAACAATTTAACAAAGCTGGCAGGAAGGGGAGGCAGCACTTAAGTAAACTGTGGTTTTATTAATCATTTAGTGGATTATCTGGACTTAGAAGGAATTATATAAGTATATCAGAATCCTATCAAAAATTTGCCCTCTCTGCAGACCTGGGGTGTTTTAGCTCTTGTGTTGTATTCACTTTTGAACCAATTAATCGTTTTTTCTGGGCTAAACTGACCTGGAACACACAGTACTCTGCATTTTTGAAACATGTAAATACTTTATATAGGTTTTCTTCATTTTAGTGAACATAATAGATAATTCGCATTTTTCTGACAGAAGGTATTTATTTTGTTTAGGTATATGTAGTCATTTCTGTATGAGGTGTTACTAGTGCCTTCCCTGACTCCTCTAGAAATGTATTTTTTCTGGAGCTGTCCAAGGTGCAAACAAGACATCCAGAGTGTTGTAAAAGACCATTGTAATGTTTTTCCCTCTCTGTGTGGTGTCTGTTTTGTTCCTACCGTGGTCAGCTTTGTTTCCAGTAGTTGATGATGAAATTGTCTCCGCATATTCTCAATACACGTATTCCTTTTTCTTCTACCATGGCGATGATGGCTTGTTCTACCATCAAGAATTTAACTGTTGTGAAAACGATTCATTATTCTACCATTAGTGGGTGCCAAAGGCTCACAGGAGATGTACCATGAAATGCTAAGAAAATATGTGTTGTTTTAAAGGACCAGTGTGTAGGATTTAGTGGCTTTCTCGCGTTGAGATTGCAGACTGCAACCAAAGAAGGAGTCAACCAAGTATGTCGGAGAAACTATAGTGGCCTTCAAACTTGCGTAAAAATGCCCTAAAAGGACCTATCTACAGACAATGTTTAGTTTGTCCGTTCTGGGCTACTGTAGAAACATGGCGGTACAACATGGCGGACTCTGTAGGAGAGGACCCGCTTCCTCTGTAGATAAATATGGCTCATTCTAAGGTTTCGAAAACACAACAGTTCTTATTTTCAGGTGATTATACACTAATAAAAAATATACCTATATATATATTATATATTATATTCAATTTCTGCCAACATATCCTGTTCAGATCCCGTCCAGTTAATGACATGCACACTGGACCTTTAACTTTGTTTTTTATTAGCCAAGTCTGCTCTGAACTGGTGGTCATAACTAGCTAACTAGTCTTGCCTTTAGTACATAAGTTATAGCCAGCTATAGTAACAATGTATAGCTAGTGAAATGCTTCATTTTTAACGTATTTAAACAAGGTTCGGTGCGTTATCTCTCGCTTAGCTTCATGCTCTTACACGCTCCGAGCTTATTTCAAACATTTTTTATCTGTAACTGTAAACGAAGGCGGAAGTGGAGGCGCGATTTCTCTCTCGCCCTCTTCGCTTCTCTTCGCATACCACGTGGAGTAAAAAAAAAATTCCCACAATGCTTTGTTCAGCATGGCAGCGCCCTGGTGTCGGCGTGTGTGTAAACAGTTGTAGTCAACAGCAGAAACAGTTTGTAGTTTTATTAATGAATCATTCAAACCGCGCGGCGACCTCTGGAATACAATTCATCTCTTTTCAACCGAGGAGGCAAAGATGAAGATTAAATCAAAGTCTTCGTATCACAAATCTGAGAACACCTACAGGGTGAGAGCACAGAAACGTACTGCAGCATGATGCTAGTAGAGACGGAGGGGTATAGTGCAGATACAAACATGAACTGGTAGTTTATATGTAACGTTTGGACAAGCAAACACAGGGATTCACTGTTAATTTTACTTGAGTTATTGAAAAGATGGCATTCAACATGAAATCCCATTCTTAAAGTCCCATTAGTACAGTCTGATGGTTCCAACTGGCTGTCTCCCAGCTGTAGCAGGGTATAAACCCTTCTCATGTGTCTCTTTCAGTTTCTCACGTTTGCTGAGAGACTTGCCAATGTCAACATTGATGTCATCCACCGTATCGACAGGACTGGATCTTACGCAGAGGTTTGTACAGTCAGTGATCTTGCGTATTACATAATCTTCCTCTTATTTATGCGTTGAGCTGTACCCAGTGTTTCCATGGTTTGCATCTGGTTGGTAATGACTTTGTTTGGCTCCTCGTGCAGGAAGTAGAAACATACTTCTCTGAAGGACTGACAAAATGGAGGGACCTCAACTTGACGTTGCATTTCAGTATGTATAAGCGATAAACACGTCATAAGCTGTATTATCACCTTGTAGTAAGCCTTAACTCCCATTAAACCTGCGGAACGCTGCTGCGTGTTTGGAGCCGATGTTAAATGAGTTCCTCTCCTCCACAGCTACGTTTCTGAAAGAGGTTTCCAACAAGAGCCAGTCCTTCAACATGCTGGTGTTCCATCAGACGTCCATAGTGGAGAGTCTGAAAACACACCTGGCTGTCAAGGACAGTCTGGCCTACCAGCCGCTGCTGGAGTGAGTTGTCTCTGTTGTTTTGCATGTGGCTTGTGTTTACCGGAGGAACAACATTGCTGATGTCCTAGCTGTAGAGTAAGTGTGGCACATCCATTAACTCCGGTCTCTGCTCTCTTTCTCCCTCCAGCCTGGTGGTGCAGCTGGCCAGAGACCTGCAGACTGACTTCTACCCCCATTTCCCCGACTTCTTCATCCTCATCACCTCGCTGCTGGACACCAAGGACACAGAGGTCCTGGAGTGGGCTTTCACCTGTCTCTCCTACCTCTACAAGTACCTGTGGAGGCTCATGGTGAAGGACATGAGCAACATCTACAGGTGAGAATCAGACTGTGGAGGCTTTACAGGTGAATGTGTTTGACAGCGTGGCGGATGGTATTACACGAACCTGTGGGTGTAAATTAACGCCTCTTTCCCCCACAGTTTGTACAGCACTCTGTTGGCACACAAGAAAGAGCACATCCGCAAGTTTGCAGCCGAGAGCTTCTCGTTTTTGATGAGAAAGGTGAGTTGTTTGCATGTGCGCAGATGGCAAACATGAGCTTGTACCCGGAAGTTCATAACACAATGATGTGTCATTGTGCCACGCAGGTTCCTGATCTTGATGCCCTGCTCAGTCACGTGTTCTCAGATCTGCAGCAGCACCCCGACAAGGCAGAGGGAGCCGGTCAGCTGCTGTTTGAAATGTGCAAAGGAGTCAGAAACATGTTCCATTCTTGTGCTGCAAAGGTGAGTTTATTTTCTAGAGTGTGTTTTTTCAGTGTGTGCTTTCAGAAGCCTGGGTTTAGCCCAAATAAATGTTGAAAATTGAACCGCCTAGAAAGCCCACAGCCGGCCTGCAACTTCCTCCTCCACCTTCCTCACAGCCTCTCCCTGTAGCTTTACGTAAGCTCGGACCCTCGACAAACCCAGGAGTCTCTCTGCCATGGGACACCGTCAAAGACGCACTGGATCAGATGGCTCAGGCTGCAGCCGATCACGTTGAAAGAGAACACTTCCTGGTTTTGTGGGAGTCCTTACAGGTAGGCAAGACTTGTTTCCTTTCAGTCAGAACATCCAAAAACCGTTTTGCACTTTCCCCGCCTTGTGTCTGATGGTGGCGTGTCCCGTGTACAGGTCAGTGTGGTGGAGGTCCTGGGTATCATGGAGGCGGAAGGAGAAGAGGCGGAGCAGGCTACAGAGCAGCTGGAGAGGCTGCTGTTCATTCTCCACACCCTGGTGTCCCACAGGGACGGAGCCAAGATCACCAAGCCAGAGGCTGTCTGCCAGGTAAGAGGAGAACACTAACTTCCCTGTAATGGTCCAGTGTGTGACATTTAGGAGTATCTATTGGAAGCAATGGAATATAATATTTATAGATATGTTTTAATTCCTTTATAATCACCTGAAAATAAGAATAGTTGTCAAAATGGTGTGTCCTTTTACTGTTTTCATCGTTTCATATGTTCTGCCTGCAGACGGTGTTGCGGCTGATTCAGAGCTCGTCTCTGTCGGCTTCTTGTTCCCGTCTGCTCCTCCAGATCACCTCCTCTTTGCTCCTCGGGGAGAACGTCGCCCTGCCCAAAGCGCTCATCCAGGAGACGGTCCAGAAGGTGTGTGTTTTTTTGCAGGAAGAACAAACGCATCTGTATATTTATGCATGTTTGTGCAGGGTGTACTTACTTGGTCTCTGTCTTCTTCACAAGGTGTTTGGCAGCACAATAGGGCAAGATCTGATACTGGAGTTCACCAAGGAGATGTTCACCATGAAGCAGTTTGAACAGGTGAGGGGCCGCTGCAGTGATACATCCAGTCTTTTCCTCGGCTTCTGCTTGTGTCTCCTTTCTCTCTACAAC